CTAGGATAGATGCATATCAAACACCCAGACGGGACAGAGTCGGACCAAAACATCTAGCCAGACTCGGTCAACACCAAATGAAGCAGCCCGTAACTTATCTAAAATAGCTTATAACTTACATAAACCAAATTACCATGTTAACCCTATTTTAATGTTACGTCCGCGTTTACTACTAGATAGAGTTATGAATCTATATATATATATATATGGTGGTCAACGATTGAAATCTTCTATTAAGAAATAAAAGTTATATATATATATATATATATATATATATACATGTGTGTGTGTGTGAATTTTATAGATATTAGGTCTATACGATATCTGCGTAATATCTTAGTTCGAAATATAATAAATTAGACTAAGCTAGAACCATAAACAAGCAATAATGCATGAAATGTTCATTGAATGCACATGAGAGCAAAACATGAACAAACCTATATGAATTTGACAATAACTCCCTTCAATATGATGATGAGTTTGGTCTTCAAAAAGACTTGTTATGACAACAATCTTCAATAAATTCAAAGCCTCATGAAAAATCATATAACTTTGAATTATATCACCTTCTTTCATATAACTCAATTGTAACAAACAACAACACATATCTCCATAGAATCTGTAAATCAGTTTCTTTTGAATTCAGCTCATATGACACCAACAACTTGGGGTAGGGCACCATCAGACCTACATGACAGATTGTAATCTGAAACACCAGGGAAAACAGATAGAATCAAAGTGGATGATTACTATAACACCCAATTTATTTTCTAGTTTTTTGGTTACAAATCAAATCAGCTAACAAATCAATCATCAGATCAACCTTAAATATAAACAATTTCAAGCATAAAGAAAACTGATTTAAAGCAATCGAATTTTAGAAAATTGGGATAGAAAACTTACCAATAGGAGGGGATGATGAGGGACACAGTGTAACATGGGTGGCGATAAAATAAATAAGGTAGAAGGAGGCTTGAATGATGATGTTGAAATGAAATTAAAAACTAAAGACTTTAACAAAACATTAATTACATGAAGAAAAGGAAAACGTGTTGTGGTACAAGAAGACGAGATACAATGGTCAAGAAATAGGACGGAGCATCAGAGGAAGAAAGTGTTGGCGTTTGGCAAGTGAAGAATGAAGAAGGAGTAGGCAAAGGGCAATTATGTATAATTCCTCAGTCAACGTTGTTTTTTTTAAACGACCACGTAAGTTACTTTTGTGGGTCGAGTCAGAGGAGTAGGCTAGGATAGATGCATGTCAAACACCCAGACGGGACAAAGTCGGACCAAAACATCTGGCCAGACTCGGTCAACACCAAATGAAGCAGTCCATAACTTATCTAAAATAGCTTATGACTTACATAAACCAAATTACCATGTTAACTCTATTGTAATGTTAGGTCCGCGTTTATTACTAGATAGAGTTATGAATCTGTATATATATATATATATATATATATATATATATATATATATATATATATATATATATATATACATATATATATATATACATATATATATACATATATATATATATATGGGGTGGTCAACGATAAAAATCTTTTATTAAGAAATAAAAGTTATATATATATATATATATATATATATATACATGTGTGTGTGAATTTTATAGATATTAGGTCTATACGATATCTGCGTAAAATCTTACTTCGAAGCATAATAAATTTGACTAAACTAGAACCATAACCAAACAATAATGCATGAAATGTTCATTGAATGCACATGAGAGCAAAACATGAACAAAACTATATGAATTTGACAATAACTCCCTTCAATATGATGATGAGTTTTGTCTTCAAAAAGACATGTTATGACAACAATCTTCAATAAATTCAAAGCCTCATGAAAAATCATATAACTTTGAATTATATCACCTTCTTTCATATAACTCAATTATAACAAACAACAACACATATCTCCATAGAATCTGTAAATCAGTTTCTTTTGAATTCAGCTTATATGACACCAACAACTTGGGGTAGGGCACCATCCGACCTACATGCCAGATTGTGATAATCTGAAACACCAGGGAAAAGAGATAGAATCAAAGTGGATGATTACTATAACACCAAATTTATTTTCTAGTCTTTTGGTTACAAATCAAAGCAGCTAACAAATCAATCATCGGATCAACCTTAAATACAAACAATTTCAAGCATAAAGAAAAATGATTTAAAGCAATCGAATTTCAGAAAATTGGGACAGAAAACTTACCAATAGGAGGGGATGATGAGGGACACAGTGTAACATGGGTGGCGATAAAATAAATAAGGTAGAAGGAGGCTTGAATGATGATGTTGAATCGAAATTAAAAACTAAAGAGTTTAACAGAACATTAATTACATGAAGAAAAGGAAAGCGTGTTGTGGTACAGGAAGACGAGATACAATGGTCAAGAAATAGGACGGAGCATCAGAGGAAGAAAGTGTTGGCGTTTGGCAAGTGAAGAATGAAGAAGGAGTAGGCAAAGGGCAATTATGTATAATTCCTCAGTCAACGTTGTTTTTTTTAAACGACCAAGTAAGTTACTTTTATGGGTCGAGTCAGAGTAGTAGGCTAGGATGGATGCATATCAAACACCCAGACGGGACAGAGTCGGACCAAAAGATCTAGCCAGACTCGGTCAACACCAAATCAAGCAGCCCATAACTTATCTAAAATAGCTTATGACTTACATAAACCAAATTACCATGTTAACCCTATTGTAATGTTACGTCCGCGTTTATCACTAGATATAGTTATGAATCTGTATATATGTCGTTCAACGATTGAAATATTCTATTAATAAATAAAAGTTATATACATACATATATATATATATATACACACACATGTGTGTGTGTGTGAATTTTATAGATATTAGGTGTATACGATATCTGCGTAAAATCTTACTTCGAAACATAATAAATAAGACTAAAATAGAAATTAAAAATAAAATATTATTTAGGATAAATAATCTAAACAAAAGTCGTAGTAAACTAAAAATCGAGCTCATGTATATAAAGAAAGCCTAAATCTAACTTTGTGAGAGGAGGTTATGATTTTTCAAAGTTTCAACATAGCAGTATACGACTTAGAAAACGAAATTAAAATCGGTCGATTGTTAGAAAAAAAAATCTAAACTAGAGTTGAAGATCTCGTCAACGTGATTTCTTCGATATAAAGACAGTTGAGAAAATATATCGTATGTGAACGATTTTTATACAGATTTAACAGTCGCAACTTGTAAAAAAATAACTTTAAAAATAAAGTGAAAATTCGCCGATATAGTCTAAACGAAAGTTGTAGATCTCATCGATTGCTACATGTTCATATATATAATGTCAAAAACGGAGCTTCTATGAAGAAGTTGTGATTTTTTGTAATTCTGATAAAAACACATATGCTCAGGCGTGAACCAACAAGGCTGCAATGTGCATTTGACATTCCACTAGAATTCTGCCACGTGTCACACCTCTGGTAGAGCCATGTCAATGCCCCGGTAAAAGGCACGATGCACCCTTCAGTTTTTCAGTTATAAATTAGATGTCTATTTCGGCCAATTTTCACGCCATTCCATCCAATCCCTCTAGAACGTCTTCCACCCCTTAGCCCCTTTACTCCCTAGTTCCTGACTACTTTAGCGTGTCCCTGCGACATCAGAGATCTAGAGATATAGAAGTTCTCTGGTCAAAGTTCTCCCCACATAGTTACCAGTTCTTGTTAGAAAGCTTTGTAAGCTAAATTACACTTATTATGCTTTAAGTGTAACTTATATTTATCGTCATATTCATTGTTATTAACCTATAAATAAGATTTTTCAGTGATTCCAAGTTATGATACTAATTGGTCTACTTACAGAAGTGATGACTTCACTGGATTTAATGAGGCATTTAGAGTGGGATTTCCAAACAATATACTTTGTATACTAAATAGAACCTACCTCCAATATGATCATAGATGGTTGTTCCTTATTTCATAGATTTTGATGTAGACATTGGGATCATTGAGGAATCTAGATTATCATTGTTATCGTCACTAGGAATTTTAAAATAGACTAGGACTTAGTGCCATTTAAATCTAGGTCTTTTAAAAAGGGTAAAGTGTTAAGGCAAAGTGCTTCCGTAACCTCGAATCACTCACTTTTGTCGGGTGAGTTCATACTTACACTCAGGAGCATAATTTAATAAATGTATGTGTTAAATGCTAATTGTATTAATTATAATTTTTTGTTATTTGTATAATATAATAGTATTGCTGATTCAAAATTATGCCGTAACAAGATTTGCCTTTAGTTATAGTTTGGGTTAGTTATAGACTTATAAAAGGGGCTTACTTTCAAATAAGGTGAATATCGGATATGTCTCATTTTAGGGAAGAGTGTGAGATCAAAACGGAATGTTAGGATCAAAATCCTTCAAGATCCTTTAGATTCAAAAAAAGTAAAACAAGAACACAATGATGATCTGAATAATGTTGAATGATTAAGTCTCACATCTAAGAGGAATTCGACGAATAATTTCTACTGTAGAGGCGTGATTAGGGTTACAGAAAAAAAATCATACTTAACAAAAATAAGATGCATGCATGCACCATAAGTACTTTAACCCTTGAATTAAATATGGGAGGACAGACCCAACCCGTTTACATAACAGACTTAAATAGGAAGGCCCAACGATGCAACATATAATACTCAACAATCTCCCCCTTTGTGTGAATTGAGGTAGGAATCCATTATCCATGAATTCACTTTTGCACTTCATAAATCTTTAGAGTAAAGCTCAACAGCAACTTGCGAACTCGAATATACCACAAAATCATGTTGAAGAAGTACTTAAGATCCTCCTTACTGTTGCCCTTGAATTTTTTTTCACCAAGTCTAATATGAACTCAAGACAGGATGTAGGATACAAATGTTTTTCAGGAAGAAAGAAGCAAGACGTGCAAAAGTCAGCTCCATTTCGCTCCTTAGATTGATACACAACAAACCATCCTTATTTGTGAATCTTCCCTAGCTTTAGCTTTTCAAAATCCTTTGGAGCTTCTTTGGGAATAATAGAGGGTTTCATTTGTAGTACCGCAGCTATGTCAACATCCATCTCACCAATTTCTTGAGTATAAGATTGAAGCATTAATTGGAGATGGGACATGACAGGTTTGTACTTCACTTTTTCCTTCAGCAGCATGTTACAAAGTATGGTCCAGTCATAAGGGTTTATACAAGGCAAGTCTGCGAGTGTGAATTTGTAGATCTGACTAGTTGATCCTCTTGCCACTTTGAACTTCGCGTTAGGGAAGCTTTCTGTTCTAATCAACCCTATGACTTTCACGGCAGTTATTTTGCTAGCACACGAAGCTTCATATTGTAGCTTGATCTACTTCAGGTAAAAGGAGAACAACATATGATCGACTCCACTGTCTGTCACTAGAGCTTTCGCAATTTTCACAAAGGCACGAAACCTGAAAGCCTTTGGAGTAATTGGTAGATCTAGGTGCGAATCTTGTGTGTTTTGAAGATCAAACGACACAAATGGCTCTAACCAATACCGGCTTGGTGAATCAACAACATCATGTTCGATTCTATTCAAGGTCCACTTGGGAAACAAGAGCTTTTTTCTCTGAAGAGTGGTCGGAGCTTCCTTATCATCTCTTTATTTTTCTTCAGCTTCTCAGATGATTCGGTTGTTCTCATCAAACTCTGCTTAACGAACCTTTTGTCTTTTAAGCTCGTCTTCATCCTGCTCTTCTTCATCTTCGTTGTTGTCAATGATATGCTCTTCACTAAATAGTTTTTCCTTAACCTTAGGTTCTTGCTTGATGATAGGTTTAATTGGAGCTTTGGGTTCTTCTTTCCATGACACTTCTTTTCTTGATATAGCTGACCCACCCTCTCCCCATTGTTTTAGAACAAAGCTTTGATCCGAAACACCTTCCAACCTATGAAGCATTGCAAAGACAGACCTCAACTTCTCATGCAGATGCTTGCGAACAGATATGGTGATCATTTAATCCTTGGTCTCAATGATATCTGAGAGTAAACCTGTGATATTAGAGATACAACTTTTCATTACAGCTCTCTCATTGATCAATTCATTAACCTGTTTCTCAGGTTGTTCAAGTTTAACAGTTAGAACCTTCACTCTTTTAGTTTTGATGGCAAGAGAGTCCATGATTTTACTCTCCATTGCTAGGTCATCTTGAAGTTTAGTAAGTTGAGAGGAAATGGTAGTTTGAAATGCTTCATGATCAGATTTCAGCCCCGTGCGAATTTCATGAAATTTTTCCTCTTAGTTTTAAATAAAGAACCCAGAATCTGAAGTTATTCATTGGCCTTCATTGTATTGGAGTCAAAGGTAGTTCGGAAATTCTCCATGAAGGTAGTAGTCTCATAATATAATTTATCGACTTTATCGGTCGTAATCTTGCAAACTTCAGCAGAATCAGCTACTGCGTTATTCATCTTCTCAACCTTAGCTGCATGCTCTTTCATGATTCGTTCAAAGAGAAACTCAATTGCTGCTTTAGAGTAAGCCTCAGAAGATGAAGTGTTGGAAGCAAGAAGCAGTTGATCTACCTTTTCATGTAATGACTGTAGTTGCACTTTTGTAATGGAAGGCTAGTCCTCACTTTCAGTCCAAATATGGAAGGGACTGTAGGTGAATCCTCCGAGTGATTTGTTTTAATCATCACCAAAGATCATGTCAGGATCATCTTGGCGAAGAGGGGAAATAGGAGGTGAGACATTGGTTGAGAAACCTGATGTTTTAGCCCCCGTATCAGATATGTTGATCGAAACAGGAGGTTCGGTAGAGGTGGTTGGTGGGACAAACAAATCTGTAAATAAAGGGGTAGAAACAGGAATAATGGTTTGTGGTTACGAAGAGACTGGTAGAGGGCATGGTGCAATGCTAATTGGTGTTGAAGTATTTGTTGGATGTGGTGTCTAAGCCCACAACTATAACTCTGATGTACTTAACCCGGTTGTAGCATGGTCATTTTTGGGTTACCTTCACCAGTGCAACTTGATAGGAAGGATTTTTTGAATAAGATTGTATATGGTTTATTAATATATTACAAGTATAATATATTAATATGAAACCATACTATTTAATTAGTATTGATCAAGAATAAATTTTGAATTAATTTTGTGATCAAAAGAGACTAATTAAATATAGGGGGATTGATTATGTAAATCAATTATTCTTGTAGTGTGGGCTAATGATCCATGATCATGTAGGTTGGCTAAACCAATCCATGGATATTTCATGGATTTTAAATCCATGGAGGATGAGAATGTGGAAAGTCATGGGTTATTTGGGTTTGCAAAGTGTAACCCTAGCATGTGCAACTCTATAAAAATCGCCCCTATAGAGCCAAAATCGACTACACCATATCTTGGAGATAACCAACTTATTCTCTCAAGCCTCATTTTGAATTTTGGTGTTTGTAAACCAATAGAGGCATCACACTTGAGGTGCTAAAGTTTTCAAAGGTCAAGAACTCTACCCTACTCAAGAGGTAAGCATCCAAACCAAAGTTTTATATTATATAGCTTCTATTGTATGCTAGATAGGGAGAATGGTTTGGAAAAACAAAATGCATGTATAATTAGAGAAAACATAGATCCAAAGCATTTAAGGTTGCATGTGCACCATAAGAGTGTTATAGTCCTCAAAACCCAAGAGTCGTATCAGAGCTAGGTTTGTTTCATATTATATATGATGCTTACTAGTTTTTCATAGTTGAAAAAGGTCGAAATTTTACCTCCGACACTGTTAGAAAAACAGCCTTTTACGATGTGCAAATAATAACACACAGTGATAGAGGACGCGCATTCGCACGAGCCTTAAAAATTAATGTCAATTTTCAAAAATTTGAAGGATAGAGGACACACATTTGTGCGTGCCCTAGAATTAGTGCCAAAAACAAAATTAAAAACACGGAAGGCGCCTATTCTAAGTGTGTGTCATCTGAAAATGCCATTTTATATATATTTTTAACTAAACGCGCGTTTTTAAAAGGTGATCTCTAAAATTCTAAAATTTTGAATACCCCGCTTCTTCACTCTCTCCTCTGGATCGCAAAAATCCATTCTCTACTTCCCCTCTCTATAACCCTAGATACAACCACTGACCTTCGTCAGAGCTATCTTCTTCTCCCCCGCCGCCACCAACAAACCACAGACTTATTCATTACCCTAAAAACCAAACTAATTTTACACCTCTCATAATCTTTCTCATAACACTTAGGTTTTTGGCAATGAAAAAAATCGACCCCCTACTCCTTTGACGTGTTCTAATTTCTTACTGTATCTAGGTTAAAATCAACCATTTCAGCAGAGCATCTTCTTGTGTACTGTGTAGAGGGAAAGGAAATCCCCAAAAATTTGAAACCCCGCATCTTCTCCTTCCCTTCGTATCCTTATTTTCCCTAACCTTGCTTCTTGATGTCGTCATCTTCTCCCCACATCGACTGTTAGCTTTATACTTCCCATTCCCAATTCTTAATACCCCATTTCTCTTTAGATGAAAATATTTACCCTTCAGTCTAGACATCTAGTTTTCCTCCTTAGACAATGATTACAACCATGTTAGATGAAGCTGCTCGCCACCTATACATATCCCTTTACTGCCACCTCCCCATGTCACCGACTTTCCCTATTGGCTACATATTTGATCTAGTTGAATTGAAGGCTAAAGGTCTTGATTTATTTATTCATCTCGTGCTTCAATTTAACACTTCATGCTTGGATTCTAATTGACTTTTTTTTCTTTTAGGTTTTTGCTGTGCGGCTCTATTCTTTGATATCCAAGACTTCTTGATTCACATACATCTCGAAACAAGATGGTTTTGCCAAACGATGTTGATCTGCATAATCCCCCAGCTGAGTTGGCGAAGAGGAAGCATAAGCTCCAACGACTTGTTCAATCTCCGAACTCTTTTGTCATGGATGTCAAGTGCCAGGGTTGTTTCAACATAACAACCATATTCAGCCACTCTCAAATGGTGGTGGTGTGTGGAAACTGTCAGACGGTGTTGTCCCAGCCGATCGGTGGTTGTGCAAGACTTACTGAAGGGTGTTCTTTTAGAAGGAAGGGAGACTGATCCTATCGCTTACTTTTATGGCTGGTTATTCAGAAGCTACTTCGGTGCTATTAGTTAAAACGTTACAAGTTGACACTTTTATTCTGGTTTTTCTTGTTGGACCCCAACTATCATCTTTTAAAATTAGGGCTAGTGTTTGAATCATTTCATCAGACCTTCTTCTCACTATTAAGCTTCTATTACGTATAGATTTTTAAAAGTTTCTCTAAATTTTTTATTGATGACTGGTGGTATCAGATCCAAGAATGGATTTTTAAACTTCCATGTTCATATGTATGTTTTCATAAAGCATATTCTGCTATGTTTATCAGTTGGTTTCTTTTGCCTATCATGTCAGTGACTGTTAAGGACTGACTGTAATAGAAAGGTACAGGAATGATGTATGTGATCTATAAGTGCAAACATTTGTTCAAAGAAAACACATACATATCAAAAAAAGAATTGGTTTTCATGAGATTATCTTAGTATTTGTAAAGGTTTTCATAGCAAGATGAATGTTTATAGTATTACATTTGTGTTGATAATTGGGTTCTAATTTTGCAGGTTCTGATGCAGGGGTATTTTAGTCAAGTGCATAGTTGGTAGAGATTCAATTTGTATGGACGATACTTGGATCTTTTATCATCAGAAGATGGTTATATAAAATTTTTAGTAAAGGGAATTTTGGTCAAACTCGGAAACTAACGTACAAAGGCCTACTTTATGGTTGTTGTTGTTCTATTGGATCAGTTATCTGGTGCTTTCCTTTTTCAACATTTCAGGCCAGGTATCTTCAAGATGCTCGTCTTGCTATTTCTGAGGTCTCGTCTGCTCATCTTATTGTTTTCTAGGTCTCATCAACATCTTCTAGACTCCAGAAGTCTCTATAGCTCTCTTGTATGTATTCGCACTCTTCAAAAATTTAAATGCATATGTGTTAAAGTGACAACCACACGGTTTAGTATTCCGTATTTAGTTTTGAACTTTGTTATCTCAATGGTTAAAAGATATAGAAAGACTTTTAATTCTTTTGACTTTTTGTATCTCGACAAATGGAAGCAAAATTCATTTAATAATCTTAATATATGTTTTATTTATTTATTTATTATTTTCTTAGTTATCGATAATAGTATTTATTAAGTTTTAATTAGTTTTTAGGCTAATTATTATAGATGATAACATAGTTAGTCATATATAACTAAACTCTAAAGGAACGAGTGAATGGGTAAATGTTGCAATAAAAATATGTGAAGGTGCACCAAATATGAAGTTAATATAAATACAAAATTTCATATTTAATCTGACATGATTGGTAGGTACGTTCTGAATCAGCCATGACTTTTCGTGCACTAGACGAGATTGATACGACATGTGTTGGTGGTTTGGTAAATTATGGGATCACTACATTGAAGGCACTAAGAGAAAATGTGTCATTTGGGAAGGTATTACATCAAAGATCTAGTTTTTTTTTCTGGAAGAGACAAAGTCTCAGGCAAACTTTATTAAAAAGAATAAAAGAATACAAAGGAGCAACTTACAATAAAAAAAACAGAGCACAAACTAAAAAGTACACCAACCTATCCATAACCATTCTCTACACCATTTTCTATTGCAACTAACAATCTAGAATTTAACCTAAATAAAGCCGAACCAATCAAAGGAATACTACAAAATCAAAAATCGCCAAGGGTTAGAAAAAACCCAGTTGTCCCAATCCAAAAATCCCCAAACAAACCACAAATAAACTCTCCAAAAAATCATAGAAACCCATCTCAAAAGGAACCTAATCATGAAGCAAAAAACAAATTATTTGAGACTAATCCCAGCACTACCCTGGTTTAAACAAACCATATTCTCATACCCCAAATTCTTATTACTAGCATATACTGTCACTTTCATCATTTTGTAATCTCCTTTAGAATTAATAACAAAATTAACCCCAAACGAATTAACAACACTAGGTCTTGGGTCACATTGTAATAAAGAATCCAGACCACGTGTACCATCCTTAGAAGAAGTAACCTGATGAATCATTATGTTATCATCTAAATTGTCTACTAACTCATTGGTAATATCACTTAATACATCAAATCGATTCCTAGAATTACCAACAATAATTTGCTATTGTATATCCATGCTACCCATGCCCTTCTCCTCTCTTTCCTCTTTTCCACTTGGATTCACACTACTTTTCCCATTATGCCCCTGCATGCCCAAACTGTTAGATTTATTAATAGAAGCAACAAACTCTTGATTCTTTTCAAACACCTAGTTTTCTTTTAAAAGGAATTTGGAATTCAGTTAGTCACTTGTTTATATATATTGTTTTCTAAAAATGGTATACAGAGAAACAATCTCAAGGTTGAGCTAGATTCCTTAAGTGGGCAAGCTACAATTTTGGCTGCACTTGCATCTGTCTCCCCAAAGCTGCCTCTTGGTTATCCAGCCAGGTAACAGTTTGAACTTTATTCAAAATTATGATGCTAAAGTGGTAAATAGACAATGGTTTTTAACTTTTTATTTATTTGTGTAAAGATTTCCCAGAACAATGTTTGATGTAGCTAGAAAAATTCTAACTGAATCTAGCCAAAACACTGTGTTTGCTACAGTTGAAAAACAAGTTGGATGGTTACTTCTCTTATCTTTGCGAGCTGCCCTTGAGGCCACCAAAAGTACTTTGATTCAAGATAGTATAAAACTCTTATTGGTAGATAATTTTGACTCCACTCTCATACATACCATGTGTATTATTAATTAGTTGATATTGATATTGTACAATTAACATGATTATTGTGTAGGATTTTCGTGTTGGTTTTGATCAAGAGTTGGGATTGATATTGAAGCTAAGATACATGATGATTGGTTGGATACATGAAGGGTTTCAGAGCTTCTTTAGACAGCTTAATGATAAGTTACTAAAACACGAAGGTGCCCCTTTATAGCAATGTAGTATTAGCCTTTATAGTTATGCAAAACCTCTTAATAACAATGTATAATTAGATCCCTTTAAAATCAATGTATTACAATTTTTTGACATGATGTTATTGGATGAAATTGTTTGTTTTGGTATATATTTTTTTCTATATTTTTGTATTATGCATAAAAGAGTATCATAAAGGCACGTAGTATATACATATTGTAAATCGTTGATGAAGTTTATGACACGCAAATGTGTGTCATCTTCATTTATGACAGGGGCTATAATGATACGCAACGCGTGTCCTAAAAGCGCGTTGTAAGGTTACGACACGTAAATGCATGTCATATTCCTTTATGATAGGGCCTTCCTAGATACGCATTGCGTGTCGTAAATGTGTGTCGTAAAAGCGTGTTGGAACTACGCGTCGTAAACGCACGTCGTCTATAGACGACGCGCAAAAGCCTGTCATCTCTCGTTATGACACATCTCTCGTTATGACAGGGCCTTCCTTGACACGCATTTACACGTCGTCTGAGCATTTTACGACACGCATTGAGCGTCATAAAAGGTTGTTTTTATAGTAGTGTGACCAGTGAACTCGCCAAGTACATGAATAGACTCGACGAGTCCACTCAGTAAATAGTGAAATTGGCGAGTCAATTCATGCACTCGACGAGTTAAAGGCCCTGTTTACAGAATTTTGAGTTTCTTGGCATGGTTTGGATTAGGACCACTACCACAAACTGTTTTTGATCATTACAAATGTTTTTTGTATGATATGGTAGTGCTTGTACTCATCTAACCATAAGATAATTGTCAAAGTTTTTAAAATAATTTTTGTTTTATTCGATAAACCAAGTTGTTTTTAAAATTGTTGATTTAGAATTGTATTGTTTATGAGTTTAGTTACATCATGAATTATGTGATAACTTAGTTGTTAGGAAAAATGATGTAATTGATGTTTAATGACCTCCATAACTTGTCCTCAAGTTATGGAAAATGAAAGTTCTCATCATTAAAATCAAATTAAACTCATAGGTTATGAATTTTGAAGAGTTTTGACAAGTTTCAAAACTTTCCCTCATGTTCTGGAATTTGCAAAGTCTCATTAGATGAAACTTTAACTCCAATCCCTACAGTTTTAAAAGTTAAAATTCAACCCTTATACATTATAGTATTATAGCTTTAATAATAATAATAATAATAATAATAATAATAATAATAAGAATAATAATAATAATAATAGTAATAATAATAATAATAATAATAATAATAATAATATATATATATATATATATATATGTGTGTGTGTGTATGTGTGTGTGTGTGTATATATATATATATGTATGTATGTATGTATAAGAGCCTGTCAGTCTTACCGTTAGTCGGCCTCATTCACGAAGCCGGTCTATAAGGGGTATAAGGTTACTGCCTATAAAATGGTGGTTTAATGGGTTTCCACTCTCACCCACCGCTTCCTTGACTAGTGGAGGGTCGTTAGCAGAACGGGTAGGATAGGACATTAATTCTCCCTTCTTTAAAAGTATAATGATATATATAAAGTAACTAAACTAATTAAATTCTCAATCTTAGTTACTTTACGAAAAATGTGAAATTGGTGCTAGTCCATGAAATTACACTTTGTACCTTTGTTAAGTCGTTAGTAGAGCATGTGTGGTTAACCGGGACACTATTCCGGAACTGACAATCTGTTGCAAAGGGTAACCCTGTGTTAATCATAGATCAATAGAGCGTATGTAGTTAACCGATACATTGATTAGGTGATCTGTAACATTGGGTGTATCAAGCTAATTTGTATGGTTATTCACACCTTGTTTATGATCCTCGACATCCCTGTCACAAACTTGAAGGGCACACTGAGATTTAAACATGTCATTGAAAAGTTCAATGAATCTCAAAGATCAAGGAATTTCAAACCAATTAAAACTTAATAATCTATTTCATTCTTAATGGTGGAAATTGGTAAATCCCTCTTTGCAATTGTAGAATATTGTGTTGGGTCCTAGCCTTAATATATCATATTGGGTGTGATATTAAGGATTATTATCTAATCTAAACCTTTTTCTTATTCTTTTTCATATGTCTATTCCAAAAAATGCTTCCACGCGAATTCCTTCAGGTTCTTTCTCACTCATGAACCTATGTGGGAGGGTCATTTTCGATGGCTCGAACTTCAATGATTTGATTCGAAACATCAAAATGGCTATTCTCTATGAGGATAAAGAACATGTCCTTTATAAATATCTAAAGGAGATTTATGTAACCACTGATACTCCTGAACAAATCACTGAACACATTACTCATGAGAGGGATGCAATAAAGGTGTCGTGTCTTATGATTGCTACCATGACTGCTGAGCTACAGAATTCCTATGAGGACTACTATCCCAATGAAATGTATCATGATTTGATGGAAATATACCATTAAAGTCATCAGTAGGAGAGGTATGAGATCATTGCCTCCATGATCACAACCAAAATGAAGGTTGGTGAACCCATCACTACCCACTTGCAAAAGATACAAAGATTCATGGACCGCTTGCTTAAATTGAATGTTAATTTTGATGAAGAGTTGGTCATAGATATTAATCTACACTCTTTACCTCCTTGCTCTGATCAATTTTGTATAACTTATCATATGAAAAAGGAGGAGGTCACTCTTAGCAAGCTTCAAGGCCTTTTAAGGATTGCTGAAAGCAACGTGAAAGGAAAATTGGTTGTGTCTACTCCTACTACTACTACTACCTTCGTTCTGGAAATCGGACAGGGAAAGGGAAAGAAAAGGAAGGCTCCCTCCAAGATACGCAAGGGAAAGTCTCTTGATGGATCCTCTTCTAGTGGAACCAAAGTTGGTTCTGCTAATTCCTCTAATCTGAAGGATATAGAGTGCTTCCATTGCCATGAAAAAGGGCACTGGAAACGAAGTTACCCAAAGTACTTGCAGGACATAAAGGATGGGAAGATCAAACCCTCATTTGCAGGTATTTACACTATTCAATCTAAAAGCTCATCACATGCTAATTCTAGGGTCCGTGATACAGGTTGTGGAGTTCACATTTGTTCTGATTTGCAGGGACTAAAAAGAAGTAGGGACGTGGAGCATGGGAAGATAAACTTAATCATGGGAAATAGGAAAATTTCACATGTGACCAAGATTGGAGTTTATTCTTTATTGCTTAGTAATGGTTTAGATTTAGATTTGAATAATTATTGTTACTCGGCCGATATGGCGAGAAGTATTATTTCCTTTCATAGTTTATACAAACAAGGTTTTACCTTTTCTTTTAATAATGAAATTGGTGGTATTAATGCTTATTACAATGGTGTATTTTATATTGCAGCATTACCTTGCAATAGTGTATACGAAACTATGAATGTTGTAGAAAACCTAGGAAATAATGTGTTACACATTGATTCTTCCAATGATTTGGATAAAGCATGCTTGTGGCATTGTCGTGTTGGACATGTCAACAAGAATCGTATAGCCCAACTCCAAAATGATGGAGTTTTGGAGTCATTCGACTTAAATTCAGATGACACTTGTGAATCTTGTTTACTTGGAAATATTACCAAGTCACCCTTCACTGGCACTTGTGAAAGGGGTGAATGTCTATTGGATCTCATACACATTGATGTGTGTGGACCATTCAGAACCGCCACAAGGGATGCTAATCACTTCTATATGACTCTTACTGATAATTACAGTAGATCTGGCTATATCTACTTATTCAAGCATAAGTCAGAAACCTTGGAAAAGTTCAAAGAATTCAAGCAAGAAGTGGAGAATCAATTGGGCATGAAGAGAAAGATGATGCGATCCGATCAAGGAGGAGAGTATCTTAGTATCGAGTTCCTTGACTATCTTAAGGAATGTGGAAATGTTTCACAATTAACGCCACCTAGGACACCACAACTTAATGGTGTGGTTGGGAAGCGTAATATAACCTTGCTAGATATGGTTGATTTCATGATGATTCGAGCTTCGTCACCTATCTCATTCTGGGGGTATGCCTTAGAGAATGCCATGCATATCCTTAATCTAGTCCCTACCAAAAAGGTTTCCAAAATACCTCACGAGATGTGGACTTGGAAGGTTCCCACATTAGACCACATCAAGGTTTGGGGATGCGAGGCTTTCGTGAGACGCAAGACTCATGAAAAGCTTGAACCTTGGAGTGAGCGATGTATTTTCATCTGGTACCCACAGAAGTCCTTAGGATATATCTTCTATAGGCTAAGTGACAATGTTGTCTTCGTCGCAAGGAGAGGAGTCTTAAGTGAGAGAGAGAGCTCATATGCCAAGGGGACAGTGGGAGGCAAATTGACCTTGAAGAGCTTGAAAAGTCAAGTATTGAAGGAAACTAAAACACTAGCAACCAACCTGAGGAGGAAACTCCGGTTGAACCGATTGATGAGTCCATACCTCTGAGACGTTCCAATAGAGTTAGAGTTCCACCTGAATTTTATGGTTTCCATATTACTGCAGAAGGTGATACATTTATCAGTGATAACACACTGGTAAATTTAGATGAACCTAAGAATTACAACGAAGCCATGGCAGGCCCCGCGTCTTCCAAATGGAAAGAGACTATGGACAGCGAGATTCAGTCCATGTATGACAATCAAGTTTGGAACTTGGTTGACAACGTACCGGGTCGTAAAACGGTCGAGTGTAAATGGATCTTCAAGAAGAAGACTGACATGGATGGGAAAGTACACACATATAAGGCGCGACTGCTTGCGAAGAGATTTACTCAAACTCTGGGAGTTAGCTATGATGATACCTTCTCACCAGTAGTGAAGATTAAATATATTAGGGTTATGCTATCCATAGTTGCATTTCATGACTATGAAATATGGCAAATGGATGTCAAAACCACTTTCCTGAATGGAAAGTTGGTTGAAGATGTTTACTTGAGTCAACCAGAGGGTTTTGTCAATGCAAAGTACCCAAAAAGAGTGTGTATGCTTGAGAAATCCATTTATGGATTGAAACAACATC